GGGCAGGACGAAGCTTGCAGGCAGAAAGGCCTCGAGGTACATGTGGGGCTTCAAGAAGCCAGTGGGCTCGGTTCCATATCAGGAAAGGGGGCCAGGGTGCAGCACTGGTGACAATACTCCTGATTCAGCCACTGGGAGTCAGAGCCCGGTGGTTTAATGGTGGGTTGAAGCAGGTTGACAGCCATTCTGTTCTCAACGGAGCCATTTCCTGGAGGGTACACTGGACCGAGGGGAATAATAAGCTCTGGTCCATAAAAAGGCAGAAAGGTGACTGGTTCAACTCTGCATGCTCCCTTGAAGAAATAAATGTGACACATCCAGGGAGACCAGGCTTGCCGCCTGTCCTGGCATCCCAGCTGTGGGTTGAAATGGAGGACCATCAGCATTGTTAACTTTGTTTGATTTTGAGACCGTCTCTCAAGTTGTCGAGCATGGCCATGAACTAACTCCCTGTGCAGCAGAGGATGACCTTAAACTCCTGACCCTTATACTTCTACCGACTGAGTGTCAGAATTATAGAGGTAATCACCACACTAGGTCTATGAGGTGCTAGAGTTAGATCCCAGGGCTTCGGCATGCTAGGCAAGTACTCTGACAGCTGAGCTCCCTTTCCAGGCCCATATTCAACTCTGTTAATCCCTGAGTTGTCCTAACTCTGAACTTGGCTGTCCCGGTTGCAGGGAGGTCACACAGATTTTAACATGAGGTGGCCCTGGGGGCAGGCCTGCACATAGCATACTCTGTATATTTGTAGGATCAAAAGAAGCTGCAGCCTGGAAAGCAATAAACCAGGTGTCCTAAAACCTGTGGCACTGAAGAACAAAGGCAGATTCCTGGCTTCTGGGACCCAGGCTAAGCCTGGAGACTCCAACCAGAGCACAAAGAATGAATTTTGCAATCCAAGAAAGGCACAGTGGTGAGGAGTGTGGTGACTCCAAGATTGGAGCCAAAGGGCTGGAGTGCCTGAAACAGGTTGGACTATGGACCACACTGGGTAAGAATCCAATCGGTCTGGAGTGGGGTTCAGATACCCTCTCTCTGCAGGAGGGACACAGGACAGACATGGAGTGGGGTGCAGGGGCTTAGTTGCGCTCCTCGCCCACGGAACTGGTAGGGCTTAGGGGCTCAGTGGGCGTGCTGAGTGAGCTGGAGGGTCCAGTGTCCACTGAGTTGCTCCTCTTGCTTCCGCCTGTGGAGGAGGAACAGGAGGCCCGGCGTGGCCACTCTGGTGCTCGGATGTTGCGGCGGTCTTTGGCAGCCTCTTCTTCTTCATCATAACGTTCACTGTCTTCCCCCAGGGGTCCATCCCGGGGCTCTTCCTCATCCTCACTCTGGTGTGGGCTGGAGTGTCGAGACAGTGAGGGCGATGGTGGCACGGAGGCTGGCCGTGGGTAACGATACCCCTGGGTCTGCATACCCCAGAGCAGCACAAACAGAGTGAATGGATGCTACTTAAGTCCCTAGAGGTATCCACTATCCTCAGTCCCAGATCAGCCAGTCCCGGCCAGGGTTGGTCCCCGTTCTACTTACCGCATCTACCTCATGGGGCTCATAGGTGAAATGATCCGGAAAGGCCTTGGCCAGGGCCATGTGGCGTGCAGACATGTAGTACTAGGCAGAAAGGAAGGCAAAATGTGTCAAGGACAGGTTACACTCCAGCTACTGGCTGATAAGTCCCTGATGCTTCGTTTTGTTTTGTTTTTCGAGACAAGGTTTTTTGTTTTGTTTTGTTTTTTTGAGACAGGGTTTTTCTCTGTGGCTTTGGAACCTGTGCTGTAATTTAAGGTGTGCGCCACCACTGCCCCGGACATTTTTTTTTTTTTTTAAAAAAGAGCCATGCCCCTGAGATCATCACGGGGAAGTGAGGCAGGGTCTCTATACTGGGCTACTCCTCTGGTAGTTTCTAGATAAGGGTCTACAACCTAACCACGCCGGTAGCTCCCCTGCTCCACCACTGTCACTGGTGGATTCTAGGCAGGGGCTCTACAGCAAATTTTCAGCCAGGCTCCATCTACTACACTTTTATGCAAAGGAGCACATTGGGCAAACTTATCTCCTGTGTAAATGTAAATGCAGATGTCCCATCTGGGCTAGGCATGGACAATCCTCCAGTCACACGCTACCAGAGGGCAGCAAACTCTTAAGTCAAGTACTGTTCTGGCCACACTACATGCAAATGAAAAGAACTCTGGCCAGATGCTATTTCTAGATTTTTTTTTTCCTTTTTGGTTTTTTGAGGGAGGATCTCTGTGTAGCCCTGGCTATCCTGGAACTGGCTATGTAGACCAGGCTGGCCTTGAACACGCACAGCCACCTACCTCTGCCTCCAAGTGCTTTAATCAAAGGTGTTCATTACTACACCTGGCTTTCTTTTAAGATTTATTATAGTGTTCAGCCTGCATGTTTGTATTCCTGCAGGCCAGAAGAGGGCACCAGACCTCATTATATGTTGCTGGGAATTGAACTCAGGACCTCTGGAAGAGCAGCCAGTGCTCTTAACCTCTGAGCCATCTCTCCAGCCCCTATACCTGGCTTTCTTTTCCTTTTCTTTTTTTTGCCACATGTGTATGTATGAGTGTGTGTGCACATGCATGCCTGTATACAGAGACCAGAGGACAGTTTCAGGTGTCGTGCCTCAGGTGTTGTGGTATTGTTTTTTAAGATTTATTTATTTATTTAATAAATGTACAAGTATATGTATGTTGTGTGTGAGTATATGTACATGTGTATGTATGCTGTGTGCCTGTGAGTCTTATCTACATGGGTATGTATGTTACGTGCACGTGTGTGTGAGTCTATGGACATGTGTATGTATGCTGTGTGCCTGTGAGTCTATGGACATGTGTAATGTATGGACATGTGTATGTATGCTGTTCTGTGTGAGTCTATGGACATGTGTAATGTATGCTGTTCTGTGTGTGATTCATGGACATGTGTATGTATGCTGTGTGCCTGTGAGTCTTATCTACATGGGTATGTATGTTACGTGTGTGTGAGTCTATGGACATGTGTAATGTATGGACATGTGTAATGTATGGACATGTGTAATGTATGGACATGTGTAATGTATGCTGTGCACGTAACCACTGAGGCAGCTCACTAGCTCCAACATCAATTTCTTGTCTTTAAAAAGTTTATATATTGCCGGGTGTTGGTGGTACATGCCTTTAATCCCAGCACACGGGAGATCAAGGCAGGCGGATCTCTGTGAGTTCAAGACCAGCCTAGTCTATATGAGCAAGTTCCAGGACAGCCTCCAAAGCAATGCAGAGAAACTGTCTCAAAAAACAAACCAAAAAAAAAAAAAAATCATTGGTGTTTTGCCTGCATGTATGTCTGTATGAGGGTATGAGGGTTTCAGGTCCCCTAGAACTGGAGTTCTCACAGACAGTGGTGAGCTGCCATGGGTGCTGGGAATTGAACTTTGGAAGAGTAACCAGTGCTCTTAACCACTGAGCCATCTTTCCAGACCCCCGACATTAATCTCTTTTTTGTTTTTCTTTCTTTCTTTCTTTCTTTCTTTCTTTCTTTCTTTCTTTCTTTCTTTCTTCCTTTGTTTGTTTGTTTTTCGAGAGAGGGTTTCTCTGTATTGCTTTGGAGCCTATCCTGGAACTAGCTTTGTAGACCAGGCTGGCCTCAAACTCACAGAGATCTACTTGACTCTGCCTCCCGACAACTGAGATTAAAAGCTTGCGCCACATTCTGCGTATTTGTATCTCTTATGCAACGGTTCGCACAGCAGCACCAGGCCCAGCATGCAGCCTCCTGATCCTGTACCTTGGCCTGATAATTTTACATCCTTTTGGGAAGCTGGACAATAAACAAGTGCTACCCACCCCCCAAAAAAAAAAAAAAAAAAACAAACAAACAGCCACCACACCTGTCCATCGCCAGCCTCTCAAGGCCACAGAACCAGAGGAGGCTAGGGAAAGGGAAGTCAGTCCTACCCGGCCTAGGTACTTCCAGTCCAACAGGTCTGACAGGCGCTCTGTGCGATTCCGCTGGATGATGCGCTGTCGCCGGCTCTGCTGACAGAAGCTGTAGAGGAAGGAGGTGAGTTGCGAGCAGGAATCATCCAGGCTGCGGAACCTCCGATCCAGAATGTAAATGCCTACAGAGGCGGGGATCTAGGTTGGTTAGAAAAGAAAAGTCTGAATTGGGCCAGGACTCCCATGCTGTCCTTCCTTTGCACTGACCGTAAGCTGAGGGATCTGCGATGTGTTCCTCCATAAAGCAGCCAAAGCCGGAGAGGTTGGTGGAAATGCTGGGGATGCCCATGACTGTGCACTCCGCTGTAGGGCCAAGAGTGGGAACCGCATACTCAACAGGTTTCTCCAGCCTGCTCCGCAAGAGATGCCTCTACATTGCCACCTGCTGGCAACTGAGCCAAATGCACCCCGCTGTACCAGCAAGGGTGCTGAGGGAAAAGTGTGAATCCGCAAAAAAGTCCGTGATGAAGAGGGTACTTATTTATGGAATGCTAATTAATGCTGGGATCACATAAAGAACTTTACTTAATCATCACTACATTAAAATACAGTGTGTGTGTGTGTGTGTGTGTGTGTGTGTGTGTGTGTATGAGAGAGAGCGCATAAGCATAAGCTTTGGATTATATGATTATCGGTTGGTTGTTATTGTTTTTTTGAGATTTATTTATTTTTATTTTTTATATGTATGAGTGTTTTGCTCACATGTATGCAGTGCCTGCAGAGGCTAAAAGAAAGTATTGGATCCACTGGAACTAGTGTTAGTAGCCATGTGGGTGCTAGGAATTGAATCTGGGTCCACTATTTTATATGATAACCCTGAACTGATTAGGTAGGCAAGGATGACGTTGAACTCCTAATCACCCTGCCTCTGCACCACAGGTATACATATTAGTTGCTGGTTAGTGGTTTGCTTCTGATGGTTTTACTGTGGAGACAGGGCAGGCCACTTGAAATGATGACTCTCTTCTGCCTCAGTTTCCCCAGTGTGCTACCACACCCAGCTCAAATCTGTTTCCTCTAGAGGTAAGAAAAGATCTCAGAGTGAGATAGAATGGCCGTCAGGGATCCCAAGGCTCAGGGAGCTAAGACAAGGATTGCCATATGAGTTCAAGCCTAGGCTACAGAGACCCCATGGCAGAACAATGTTTTTCAGGTATAACAACCATCACCATCTCAACTAGAGCAGTGTGATGACTTGAAAGTGACCCTCAAGACCTGATCTGCTAATGCTCCCTCAGGAGGGGGCGAGGGCAATGCATCCTCTCTGAGATTCTAGCCACTCCTTCCCATACCTCCCTCCCAGATACAAACAATTCTGCTCCAGCTTTACTTGGTCTTGTGGCCTTAGGAGGTCCTACAGCATAGAGCATGGGAGGAGACAACCATGCAACCATGGAGACGGCTTGAGACTTACTCTGTGATATGCCTGCTTTAGGCTTCCCCACACTTCCTTGAATAACCCCTCACTCAAACTCTCTAAGGAAGAGAAATAATAATTCACTGTGTGTGTATGTGAGAGAGAGAGAGATTAGATGAACATGCCTATAATATAAACATTAAAAAACAGAGGGAAGAAGGTCAACGGTGGGCTGGAGAGATGGCTCAGAGGATAAGAGCACTGGCTGCACTTCCAGAGGTCCTGAGCTCAATTCCCAGCAACCACACGGTGGCTCACAACCATCTATAATGAGATCTATATGGCCTGCAGACATACATGCAGACAGAACATTTTGTACATAGTAAATTTTTTTAAATCTTTAAAAAAAAAAAAAAAAAGGTCAAGGGTTCAAGGTCATCCTCAGGTACAAGTAAGCTTGGGGCCACCCTTGGGTTTCACTAAACCCTGCCTAAAAACCAAAAATAAACAAGAAAACCCCCAGTGAGGGGGGACTATACACAAGCAATTCCAACTGAGAGCTCTGGACTGGAGAGAGGAGTGGAGAGGAAGAAGTTAGTAGAGGCCAGTAGAGGAAGTTCAGTTGGTAGAATATTTGCCTGGAAAGCACAAAGCCCTAGGTTTGACTCTACAAACAGGTTGAGTGGTGCAGGCTTGTATTCCCAGCACTCTGGATGTGGAAGCCAGATGATCAGGAGTTCAAGACGAACCTTGGCTACATAGCAAGTCTGAGAGGCACTGGGAACAGTCTTGTTCACACAGCAGCTCATGGCTCTGAGGGATCACACATAGGCAAACTGGAGATGGAGTTATCAGTAACGACCATTGAAAATGAACTCCAGTCTTTTAGTCCTGAGTCCTGTAGACTTCTGTGTCACAAAAATGTACACTGGAACAGGATAGGTCTTACCGTCATCCCACAACTAAGGAGCCGTGTTGCAGGTTCATGCCAGAACTGAACAAGTCCCCAGCACCCTGCCACCCATTGCCTCCTGCACTCACCAGGCGTGTAGCCCCAGGGCTCATAGTAGGAGGGAAAGACCCCAAGGTGACAGCCACGGACAAACTCTTCATAGTCCACTGGGAGTAGAGGGCTTGTGGAAGAGAGGAACTCTGGGTGGAAAATCACCTGCCAATGGAAGAGAAGGGCTTAGCTACTTCCTAACCACTCAGAGAAGGCACATCACTCTAAACATATAGCAAAGCGGACAACTAGCCAAAGACTTAAACTTAATTCAGTTGGCCTCAGAAAGTAAGGCTTCTTTCTAAATAGTGCATGTGGTGGTTTGAATAAAAATGGCCCTATAGGTTCATAGGGAGTGACACTATTAGGAGGTGTGGCCTTGCTGAAGTGGGTGTGGTCCTGTTGGAGGAAGCATGTCACTGGGGGTCAGCTTGGAGTTTCAGTGGATCACTGTCTTCCTGCTGCCTGCAGATCAAGATGTAGAACTCTCTACAGCCTCTCCATGTCTGCCTGTGTGCTACCATGCTTCCCTCTATGAAGATAATGGACTAAACCTCAGAACTGTAAGCTGCCCCAAAGAAATGTTTTCTTTCATAGGAGTTGTCATGGTCGGCTGGGCAGTGGTAGCACACATCTTTAATCCCAGTACTTGGGAAGGAGAGGCAGGCAGTTCTCCGTGAGTTCCAGGCCAGCCTGGCCTATAGAGTGAGGGCCAGGATAGGCTCCAAAGCTACACAGAGAAACTTTGCCTCGAAAAGCAAAACAAAAAAACAAAAACGAACAAAGAGTTGTCTTGGTCATGGTGTCTCTTCACAGCAATAGAAACCCTAAGACAGTACAGCTGATAAATTAAGGAGATAAGAATTATGATGCCCAAGGAATAGCCCTTTCCCCTGCCACACCCAACCAACCACTGCCAACTCTCACCTTCACACGGTCAGCACTACTGTTGAAAAGGCCAATTCGGCGAATGGTGGTTAGGATAGGATCTGAGGAGTCATCCAGCATGTTGTGGGTGCACACAGGGGGAAAAGACTGCCGCTGCAGAGATCAAAAGTGAGGTGGAGGGTCAAGGGAGGGACAGGCAATTTTCTACTTGCTCAAGGGCCATGATGACCAGGGATCTGAAGAAGCCACCAACAGAAGCCAACAAATTCAAGACTAGAACCCACCCTTCTTTTCCCATTTAACTATCACGAAGCAAAACCAAAACAATAACAAAAAATCCCAGCTAGAAAAAAATCCCAGCTAAACTTAGGCAGAGCTGGTTGGAAGGCACTCTACAGATTATGAGAAGTTATCTGTGTTCTGTTATATACTCTTATCTGTCCTTCTAGAAACCCAAGGAACGTCACTAAGATGGAAGCAACCATGTGACTTTACTGTCATCTCGGTCGATGTAACCATGTAACATAAACCAGAATGGCAGCAGAATGTTGACTCTGTCCCCTGCCCCGCCCCCACAAAGAATCCCAAAGGAAATGTAAATGCCCCCAGGCAAGTACACAATTGTGTCCATTTGATAGCAAGCTAAAAGGGCAGCTGGGAGTTGTAGTTTTCTTATGAAAATCCATACTCCTCCCACCAGGAGTCATAGCTGCAAAACAAAGATAGATTGACAGGAAACCCTAGACCTTGAAGAATTCATTGCAGCTGTTACATCATCCTATTAAAAGACACACGCACATTGGCAGTGTATAAGGGCCAAAAACTACAACTCCCAGAAGCCCCATGTTAGCATTATTCATAGAGGAAGCGGGTGCCTCACTTCAGAAATATTTTATGCAAAAGCACACCCTACCTCATTAGTGCATGTTAGCTGTCTAGACTCCAAAACTCAGCCTCACCAATGTGGACCATAGGCACCAAAGTCCCTTGACCCGCTGGAAATGAAAGAACTCTATTCCCAGAAGCCTCAGGGGCAAAGGAAGTCAGTCAATAAAGTACAAAATGTAGTTCTCATTTTGTGGGCCACATCTTCCTAATGTTTCCCATCCATTTAATTTCAACATTAGGAATCCGAGGGTTCTGTGGGAAATAAGACACAGCCACAGGCTAGGTGATACATGCCTATAATCCCAGCACTCCAAAGGCAGAAACAGGCAGATCTCTGAGTTCCAAGCCAGCATGGTCTACACAGAGAGATCCAGAACAGCCCAAGGCTAAGCAGAGTAAACTTGTCTTCAAAAAATACCACCAGCACCACCAACAAAAATTTATCTTGGGCTATTTCAGACCACTAAATAGCAACTCCTTGCCACCTGTCTCTGATCTAGTAAGAGCCATAACTAATAGATGAAATCTTTGGGGAATGTATTAACTTATGGAAATCCTAGTTTTCATCAACCGAGACTAGAAATGCATTCGGACGGCATCCTAGGTCTATAGGTGAGATTTACCCCCATTGATGCACCCTCCTAACCTGATGTCCCTACCAAGGTATTTTAAAAAGACCTTATGGTATTATTTTCTTTGTTCCATTATCATAAAATGTCAAAAAAAAATTGTTACTATGTTGGAACATGGTGTTTCAGGTGACCTGAATCCGTGTTCCTGATCCATGGTCATACTTTGCTTCAGAATACGCTCTCTCTCTCTCTCTCTCTCCCTCCCTCCCTCTCTCTCTCTCTCTCTCTCTCTCTCCCTTTGTGTGTGTGTGTGTATGTGTGTGTGTGTGTGTGTGTGTGTGTGTGTGTGTGTGTTTGTGCATGTATGTATGTGTCCACCCCAGTGTTTGGAGTTGGAGAGGGGCTTAGAAGCCAGGGATGGTTTTTCTTTCTTCTTTGGCCAGGCCAAGTGGCAACGCCTGACCGCCAAGGGCAGCACCCGTCTGGACATGTTTGAACACATCAGGGTTTCTCTGTAACAGCCGTGGCTGTCCTAGAACTCATTCTGTAGACCAGGCTTACCTCAGACTCAGAGATCCTCCTGCCTCGGCCTCCTGAGTGCTGGTATTAAAGGTGTGTGCCCCTGCCCAGAATAAACACACCTATTTCCTTTGATGTGGAAGTTGTGTTTTTACATTGACATTTCTGTGGCTCTCAGAATTGGTTCCTCTACAAAAATCTACCCAGGAGAACAGAACTCCTAGAAACCTTTGGGGTAAGAGGCCTCAGGACATGCTGGCAATGGCCAGTACACTTCTCAGGGATGCAAACCATACCTGAGTGGCAAAGATGGCTCTCTTCATTATAGTGAAGTCCTCCTTGTCCAGCATCTTATTCATGTCCGGGAGGCTCCCCCTGCAAGGGGAGAGGTAGGCATTTGGGAATGAAGTGATGGCACAGGTCAGTCTGCCAATGGGAAGAGAGCCAAGGTTGGGCACTCACACTAGTAAAGATTCGTAGAGCTTCCTCCCAAACTTCTCCTTAACTGTATTGGCTGTGTCCCTGGAAGGGAGAGAGAAAATATCACAGACACCCCACCCCCAACTTACTGTCAGGCTTTGGGGGCAACAGAGAAGCCATGCTCTGGGGGGGACTTCAAACTGGAGGATGGGGACTGACTGAAGAATGCTTGAGTTCCTTGAGATGTGTGGCTGGGGACAGGTGGCCTTTCCTCTCTTACTTCAGTGACTCATCTATGAGACAGTGTAAAAATAGACTCAACCTCAGGAGTTGCAGAGAGCCCAAGAGGTCAGGAGAAAGCCCGGCCACAGAGCCTTCCAGAAAAGTCAGCTATTATTAGGGTTTGGATGAATCTTGGACAGTGATGCTGGGCCCTGGTTTA